CCTTGTTTGTTTGTTTCGGCGTTCCCTCGCCGCCTCCAAACATGCGGGTGTGTTGAGGGGCGCTTGATGTAGTTTTCCACTCACACATGTTCGCAAACCTCTCTTTTTTATTTATTTATTCTTGCCCCTCCCTTTTTCTTCCTGTGTGTGTGTGTGTGTGTGTGTGTACGTGTGTGTGTGCCTTTCCCCCCGCCCCGCCCCTCTGTTTATTTGCTTCTGCCGCGTGGAACACTGTAGTCTTTTCTTTTTCTTGTTGTTCACAAGGTTATTAATTAAGGTGCGCGTTGGTCACTTGATACATGTAGAGTTGCATTTGCATAGAGAGAGGTACGTTACAGTTTATTTATTTATTTCCACGTTCCTAGGAGCTCTCGGTTATCTTCAAATGGGCGGGCCCTTGCGCAGTGACGCTTCCGCCAACGAGGCCCAAGAGTCCAGGGAGATTGGAGAAGGGGGATATAGAGAGGGAGGAGCACCTGCTGCCCACAGCATCGACCACGTGGGCACGCGTTGCAGAGTTCGCTTCATCCAGGGTAACTCATTCTGCCCAATATACAGGGTGGCGGAGCTGTCCGTGGCGTACGCCCTCATGAATGATGGGTCGTTCAGTATTCGCTTCGACACAGACGTTCGCGTGCCAATTGTAGCCAAACTTGAGGTGAACGGGAAGATGTTCAACAACGAGTACCGCATCTTGCCAAACGGGAGCCGGACGGTAAAGGAGGTTCACGAGCCCAACGTTGCCACGACGAGGGCCTTCGTGTATCATCCGCTTATCGTCTTTGACAACGTTCTCCAGCGAGAGGTCAGCCCAGGGGAGATGGAATTACGAACAATAGAGGAGGCCAATGAGTTTACGTCGCTATTCCGTGTTTTCTTTCTTTCTGTGAAAGGCGGGGTGGCAGCAACGCGAGAGGGCGTGTGGAAAATAAATTACAAGAAGGAACCCCTGGCTGTGGAAATGGTTCGTGTAGGACACAGAGCCATGCTGGCGAAATTATTTGACGTCTCACTTGCGGAGTTGGTTAAGTCCTTGCGGCAGGCTTCGCCTAGTAGACCTTCCTCCGTCAGTCGGACTCTGTCGCTGGCACCGCCGCCACTGCCTGCGCCCGCAATGAGTCCACGAAGAAGAAGTGATGCTGACAGTTTTTTGCCCCTTCGTAGCACCAGCACAACCAGCTTCAGTCGCTGGACATCACGCTCTACCAGCATAGAGAGGGGAACTCGGCCCCGGGCCTCCTCACTCACGTGCTTCATGCAATCCTCAGGTGCTCTACAGGGTCATGACTCGCCAGTGCAGCGGTCGTTGTCTGGTGGGAAACGTCACGCGGCGCCGCGCCAATTGCGACGTGGGAGACGCGTTGATTCGTCGCGATCACCCAAACCAGGGAGGAAGTCCGCCTCACGCAGCTCGCCGCCCTCTCCTTCGGTGTTGCATGTTATGCCAACGCCTCGCGTCAACTCTCCAACGCCGCCGTCTTTGCATTCAAGGGGGAACGGTAGTTCCGTCAGTCGCACTGCAGCAAGAAAAAAAATCTTGCCTTTTGGTCTGAAGGGCAAGAGTTTTCTTGCTGGTGAAAATGATGTGGAGAAACAGGGTTCTAAGAATAACTCTTATCATATCTGTGTGGGTTGCAATGCTGTGTTTGAGCGGGAACGTGTGTTGTTCTATGAAATAGTCACCCACCTTAAGGAGAAGGTCTGTGCTCTCCAACAGGAAAACGTGGAGCTTAGAGCTCGCTGCGGAGAAGATGCATCTTTTTCTCTAAATTGCACGGATGCCCTCAACCAGGCGCCTCCAACGTTGTATCTGGAAGGTTTAGATACAACACTTCAACCACCTGACGGTTTTAGGCAGGAAGAGGAAGAGGAAAATGAGATGGATGTGAACCCACTACTGACGCCAGATTTATCACACGACAAGAGTGGAAGCAGTGAAGGTGCGGTGGTGGGTTACTGCTAGATCTACACACCACCGTCTTAGTTGCATACGCCACTGGCCTGAGGAAAAATGTGAAAGAAGTGGGAAAGCAACAGTGAAAAAAAAGAAAACAACTGTCATGTTTTGAGGTGAACTATAACAATGTACGTGAGCGCAGTGTCTCTCCCACCCCACTCCACCCCCAACACACACATGCACGGACATACTTATGTTGGGGGGCTTTTAGCCTTCACCGGATGGCACTCAAAGATAACGGAACTAGCGCATATTTATTGTTGGCATCGTGCGTCGTTGCTTCCGCGTTATTGTATTACATACAATGTTTTAATCCTTTTAAGTATGCTTGCTTGTCTTTTTTTTTTTTCCTTTGTGGTGGTGGGCGGAGGTGGTTGTGAGGTGCATCCTCGCGCTTACCGGCGTGGCCTCGTTGGCTCGGCTATTGTTTTTTGTTACTGGTGGTGCTGCTGCTGAGCGGATGCGTCACCCACCCACCCAGGATGTTGTACCCCTGTTTCTCCGAGTCGGCCTGGGCCCACTGCCACTCCGGCGCCTCGTGTCCAATGTGATGAATACTACGCCGACATGTGGCATGCCAAGCATGTGCGTTGTTATCTTGTTTGTTTATTTGCGTTTTTCTCTTTTTTTTTTACCCTTTTCATTTACTACAGTGCGCTGTTTGCTGCCTTCCGCCACCGCAGCGGGGGGGGCAACGGGAGCGTATATTTCTACAGCTACACACGACCGCGAGGCGGTGGCGGCGTGTGCCCAAAGGAAGACCGGAGATCAACTACCAAAAGATAAATAAAAAACTTTAGGGGTGGGTGGGGAGGGGGAGGGGCAAGCAAATTGAGAAGGAAAAGCAAAGTGGGGTTGGTGTCGTGGGAGGGAGGATGGTGCTCTGCTGCTGTCAAAATGCGGAAGATGCCGTGGCCGACAAGCGAGCGGAGATTGCCACAATGGAGCAAAAGGGCCTGAAACGATGTACCCCACCAACAACGATTCCGCGGCAGTGTGTGGCGGTAACTGTGGAAATAAACGTGTATAGCTTGTTGGAGCAGAACAAGAGGCTGAAGAAGCTGGGAATGGGGGTCTACCACTGCGGTGTTGTCGTTTACGGCATTGAATGGGGGTATGGGGAGTGTGTCGAGTCGGCTAACGCCTCAGGACTGTTTTGCGTGTACCCAGGGCAGGCCGCTGGCAAACTTTACCGCACAGTTTGCTTGGGTGTCACCACCCGATCCCCACAGCAGGTCGATACCGTCCTTCACAGGCTGGAAAATGAGTGGTGCAGCAGTGATTATCATATTCTTAATCATAACTGCAATCACTTTGCGCAGCGCTTCTGCGACTTGTTGTCCACGGTGCAAAAGTTGCGAGTTCCATTGTGGTGCAATCGTGCGGCACGGGTGTGTAACAGAATTGTCCCAAAGAGGTTAGCTACATACCTCCATCGCTTGGTTGATGAGGAGCCACCAAAGGCACGAGTATCTGATCTTTCACGCGTTGGTGAACTCCCAGAGTCTGTAATACCGCGGGACTGGTACTTGCATCCCTCCATCTCACAGCAACCTCGTTACACAACCTCGTATTTGTCTGGGGAGGCTATTCCCTCTCCGCTTAAGGTGGTGATGTCAAACTCGTATTCCCCGTGTGCCAATAGAGAGTCCAACACCCGCACGGACCTGGATACAGGCTTGGACGAGACTGGTCCGGCCCTCGCCACTTCGAACACTGATCTGTTACACCGCATCTCTCTGGAGTGCAACAAATATTCACCCTCAGATGCGTCGTTGCCGTTGCTGCAAAACATGCAGGGGGTTCTCCATCTGGCAACTGGGAGCGGCATGTGTCTTCCAGGGCCCAATGTCTCTCCAGCCGCCACTACTTTGCGTGTCGGCGATGGTGGATGGAGGGAAGAGCGAGGTGAATCACCACTTGAGTCTCAAGCCTCTCAAGACACTGGTTCCCATATGGCACCAATGAAACACGGGGAAGAGCACACAGGGATTACAGACGTAAGCACCTATAGTGATGATCATGTACAAAGGGATATAGCGAGAGAGGAAGCACAGTCGAACAACGAAGGTAACGAAAACGAAAGTGTATTCTACGCTGCGCTGCACGCTTCAGTGACAGTGGACATGGACGGGCAATCGGTTTCAGTTCAAGCTGAAGAAAAAGATTTGCTGTCTATGGACTTATCGTCGGCGCTTGTAATCATTAACGACGATGCGGCTGGTGGTACTACCAGAGGAGGGGAAGACATGAAACAAGAGACAGGGAGTGACACGGCCTTGGTCACTGATAATAGTGACGGCATGCACTCCACAGATGTGGCGGCATTGCGCTGGGTTTCAAGTGAGAAGAATAACCACTTTGGTTCACTGTCAAGTTCCTCAAGCAGTGTGGAAGAAGAACAAGGAGAAACTTGGAGATCTGCAAAATTACGGAACGAGGGGACTCTCTTTAGAAGCCTGTCGTACCCTCGGGTTAAGTTTCCCAGGCTTCTATCGCATGATGCGAAACGGAGGACAACGGTGATTGGGAACACCTGCCGCTTGTCCCCTCCGCATCCGGAAGAAAAAACATCTCCGGGATCTTGCCTCACTCTGTTTTCGGGAGTTGGCAGCAGACCTCCGCTGGACTTTGCTGCAGCTTCACTAGGGGATGCGGAAACGAGCACATCATTATCTGGCTCTTTCTACAGTAACCCTGAAGGTGGAAACGAGGATGGCTCATGTTTACGGCAGCAGGAGGACATGACGATTTTAACACCGGTGGTGGAGGAGGCATCCAGGACGAGTATTTTCAAACCGTTGTCATTTTTATACAGTTCTTCAAACCTGCGGAGAATATACTCTTGGTCTCATTGAAGCACTTTTGGATGCAACAAGAGTTTTTTTGTTTTTTTGTTTGTTTGTTTGTTTGCTTGCTTGTTTTGTGGTTTAGCTTTCGGTTTTTCCTCTTTTTTTTTTTTTTATGATGTTGCCGTGGCTGTGCCTTTTTTTTTTTTCTTTCTTTTTCTTTTTTTTATTTGTTCGCAGAACTGCTAAGGTAGAGAAATGCACTGCTGCGGATACGCTCATATGTTACGGTTTGTCTGAGCGGCTCACGGTGTGTTTGAGGGTGCTCTTTTGCCTTGTATATTTCCCTGCGATGAGCTTCCGCCTTCAGTGCAGTGGCATCCTTGTCAATCCACCTGTATTCCTTTTCTTCTCATCCTGCTGGATCATCTCAAAGGGGAGGTGACGTTGGTTGGTATCTGCACACGCAGTGAAGTTAGGTGTGGGGGGGTTTGACAGCTTGTGAGTTATGAGCTGGCTAAAGGCGCTAGAGAAGGTGCGGTCTCGCGCCGCAGTGAGCTCCCTTCCACAGACGTTGCTTGCTTCAGGCGCCGCTGTGGCAGGCCGCCTTGCGCCGGCGGTGAATAGGGACGGATTGCAACGTAAACAACAAGAACACGCACAAGCGACAAGAGAAGTAGGGCCTTCAACGGCCGCGCTACACAGCGTCAGCGACACGTGGGGTAGTGCACTGGCGGTCATTAGGTTCTCGCAGTCCGGCTCGCAACGCGACCAGACGTGGAATATGCACCACCTCCCCCTCTCGCTTGCCACGCAGTGTCTGGCGGTTTTAGTGGAGGCAGGGCAGACTGCGCAAGGGGTGGAGCTGATGCAGTCATGGCAACGTCCGGAGGCAAGGACAACGATGCGTGCAAAGATACGGGCGACCGCTCGAATGCGCAAGACACTAAGGACGTTAGGTACCATTGGAGATGTGGAGACGTTGCGAACGGTTGTGTCTGTGCTGCATCAATCGTTGACGGAGCAAAGGCATCTGTCGCGGCATAAACACCACCTTCAAGCTCATGCGTCATCCTCTGAACCCTTCGAGTGTGCTGGAACGAAGAACAGCTATCCGCTTCTGTCAGCGCTTGGCATGCAACGCACCCGGCTGTTACTTGTCGAGGCAGTGCATGAACTTGTCATGCAAGACGAGAGTGTCGTCCCTGTGTTTGAGAAGCTTACGTGGATCAATGCAACGGCAGTGGCAACCACACCGCAAGGCGCCCAGGTCCAGTGTCTTATTCCATTTATGCTTCAAGACGACTTCGGTCAGGTGATTGAGTCGAGCCCCTCCTACGACGAGAGCCTTTTGCAGCAAATTGGCCCAGCCTTTCACATGGGATTTGCCCATCCCACACAATGTGGTCCTGTTGAAATTATTTCCATGCCGCGAAGTGAAATTCGGCGTCTGTACAGGAAGAGTATTGGTCCATCAGGGGAACTGTGGAAGGAGGTGAAGGATCTTGTCCTGCCGCACTCACTCCTGATACAGCAGGCGTGTCAAATAGCGACGCTGGTAGACGTTCTCTGTAGCCCCATGAAGGCGTCTTTGGTGGCACATGCCCATCGTAAAAAGGATGCCTCCGAGCTAACAAAAGAACTGCGCCAGCTGCGGAAGTTTCTCATCACACAACTTTGTTCCTCGCGGTCCTTGTCGCGACGAATGTGGAGTTGTGCGTTACTGCGTCATCCGCGTCTTTTGTATCGCTTAAACCTGTCCCCGATAATGGTGTTTTGTGCCTTGGCGCTGACGTTTCGTAGTTTTCAGGTCCACATCCCTTTTGTCCGCTGCTGTCTGCCGCTGCTGCGACGTCTGAAACGAATGGGTCATGATGAGGAGGCGGCGCGATTAGTGTGGAATCATCTTTCTGTTAACAGCCCTGCCCTCGCTGTAGTGTTTAGGCACCACCCCCTGGCCCTTGAGGATGCAGTGACGGTCGTCTGTCGCACGATGCGCACAGGTGTGGGAGGGCGCAAGGAGGCGTGGATGGGTCACCGATCGCTTGCCGTGCTGCGCGTGGCCGCTGCATCTGGCCGCTTGACCCCCGCCCACTGCATTCCTGCCTGCGCCGCCGCCCTTGACTGCGGGGTGCACTTTGCCACTGTGCAGCAGCTCGTCGGAGAGGTCTTTGGCGATGACAATGACACGGCACGGTGGGTGCTGAACATGGTGCGGCTGACCACCGAGAGCCACACGACGCGTCGTTTTTTTCCTTTGGTGTATTCCGGCCACTCCGTGTTGATGCGCAGCCTACTGCGAAAGTACGCGTGCGAGTCCGACGTGATCGGTTCCCCGCCCGCTGTGGAGCTCCATGTGCCATCCCGCAGTAAATTGCTGGCACTGTGGACGATGGTTCACGACGATGTCATGAGTATGCCGCTGCGTCGACTGATATGTCGTCTCTTTTTGGATGACGAGGCCCTTATGGATTGGAACAAAATAACTGCAACACAGCAGGCTGGTGCACAAGCTCTCAATGTTTTTTTTCGTGAGGAGGTGCTTGCCTCCATGGCGGCCAACTGCACCACGGAAGGCAGTTACGTGATATTCATGGATGCGCTTCTTTCGCGGCGCCGCCTACGGGACGCTAAACGTTGTATGCAACTCCTGTTGAGTGAGCTGGACGACGAGTGTGGACAGGTTGTATTGCCTAGTCTTGCAATTGAGGGCATAGGTATTCCCTAAGGGTTTGCTACCCGGTGTATATTTATGGAGCCTTGTGTGGTTCAGCTTGTACTGTAGCCCACACGCATGCTCCGTGCAATTAATATCTTTATGGTTCTTCATGTTCACTTGCTTCATTGCTCTTGAAAGTCAAAATGTTTTGTTGTTTCCATCTCCTACATCATGTGCGCATCTTCCGTCTTTTCCAACCCTCCATTATATATATATATATATATATATATATGGAGGTTGAGTAACCGGCACAGCGGGTGGTAGAGTCGCGTGGCTGTGGGCGGCAGCGTCTTTTGATATCTAGTCAACAACGTCTCGTCGTTGGGAAGATACTCTTGTAGGTCGTGCGAGCTGGCAGCGGCGAGGAATACGCAGATGGTTTTCTCAGCCCGCGCGGCAGAGCGGGGAGAGTTTGAGTTTGACGTGTGTAAGCTGAAGCTTGGCTCAGGTGGCAGTGGGACTGTCTTTCTTGCGCAGCACCACATTACCCGCGAGCTTGTGGCGGTGAAACGTTTGTACCCAAGGCATGCAACGGAATGCGGAGGAGCCCTCTTGTGTTCTGCATCGCAGAACGACCCCCATCATCATCATCATCATCATCATCCGCGTCGGACTCCAGCTGCCTATCGCTTGACAACGCCCGTAACAGCAAGGACGGCGACACCGGCGTTTAAGGGAGATGGTGGCAGCGGTGGTGAGGAGGCGTATGACGTCAGCCTTCTGCGGGACGTCGACTACCACCGTAGTGGTGGTAGCAGCAGCGCCAGCAGCTACACCAGCCGCAGCAACGAGGATGACATGCACGACGACATTGACCTCACGTTGGAGGAACAAGAAGATGAGGAAACGAAGGAGGCAGAGGAGGAACACCCCATATGTGATGATGATGATGATGAAGAGAGGGAAACTAGTTCTTTTAGACTGGGACGCGTTCCCTCTGCAGCCCGTCTGCCCTGTGAGAGTATGATTCTGCAGTACCTTGGGCCACATCATCACATTGTAAAGTTCCTCGGTAGTTACACCACCTCAAAGCGGGTCACCTTCTTCGCAATGGAGCTCATGGACAGCGATGTTGGGAGAGAACTGCGGGCGGCCAACACCGCTTTTATGAATGAAGATATTGCGCGTCCACTGCTGCATAGTGTAGTCTCTGCAATTGCCCATCTTCACAAACGCGGTATCGCCCACCGTGACGTTAAGCCCAGCAACATCCTCCTTCGTCGGATTGATGCGGCAAAGTTAGTTGCAAGTGCCGCTGCACAGACTACCACCAGCATCACCACGCCAAGAGCAGAGTCTTACAAAAGGTACACGGAACGCCAATCTCAAAATTTGTGCCTCTACGAGACGGAACATGTGAAGGCTGCCCTCGGAGACTTTGGAGCCGCGCACTTTATGCACGAAGGCAGCAATGTCTGGGGTGGACGTGGGACCTTGTACTACAAATCCCCAGAGCAGCTCATGGGTCGTGCTGAGGACTACTTTGCTTGTGACATGTGGGCTTTGGGTTGCACGTTGTTTGAGCTGAGTACTGGGTCGGTTGCCTTCTGCGGATCCTCGGATCTTCAGGTGCTCCATCAAATTTACGCCAAGCTTGGTACAAACTTCTATTCTTACCCGGACGTAACACGTGCAGCGACGTTGTTTGACAGTTTGTCTGCACCGTCTGCAGCACTGCTCGATCTTTTGAACGGACTTCTTGCACTGGATCCACAGAAACGCCTGACTGCAGGCGAGACAATGAAGCATGCCTTTTTTGATCCTATTCGACAAAAGTACGGGGTCGACAGCGACAACACGGAGGTGACGTTTCCACTGCGACCACGCTGCCGCCGGCCTGTGGATGCGGCTCGGTACACCTTCCGCTCCGTTTGCAATACACCCGCTAAGCGGTCTAGAGCGGCAGTAGGGGGTGGCTCCTCACATGTCAGACGTGATGCAAATCGCTCAGATGTCAATCTTTCCTGTTCTGTGCGACGATGCAGTGTGTGGTCCTCTTCGTTTAGCGCCGGTTCAAGTCCCAGAGGTGCTTCCACATGTATGAAGTCGCATCATGAGAGTGTGGACGTCTCGCGGCGGCGTGGTGGTGAATCAGGTGCCTGCAGCATTGGCAGGCTTCTATCTCTCTCTGTGTGTACCCCTAGAGTCGGTGGTGTGAATACGCAGGGTAAGGACGATAACCCAAGAACGGTATACCCATTCATCTCCCCTGTGGCGCTGTGTTTTAGTCCAGCAACCTCTGTTAAGTGCCCTGGATGTTCACTGAGCATGACCAACACCACAGCTGCAGCTGCAGTGGCGACAGCGGTTGCCTCACAGGGTAACAAACTGCGATGGACTCCCTCATCTAACGCTACGCTGGGAAACACACGGACCAATTTATTATTTGAAAGGGCCCCTGTGGGGGAAGGTGCGTGCGCTGGTATGGGTGGCGGCGGTCACACAGGACCACGTGTGTTATTCGATGACGACTCCCACTCCTGCCATCACGACGCGGACTCGCCGCTTGTGCGCAAGACGCTCTTTGGGACACCCCAGCGACCCCTCATCTACCCTCTGAACGACAGTGCTGACAACGCTGAGACCAGCGTCATACCTCTCGATGAACCGTAGGTGAGGACGCATGGGCGACACCTTAAGGGACTGGTAATGCAATCAAAGGAAAACCGACGTTGCCGTCGTGTATTTATGACACAGGTAGCGAGCGCCTTATGTTTTTTTTTATTTTATAACGTTAGAACTATTCCCCACTCCCTGCGCGCGCACGAGAGCGACAAGCATGAGAGGGAGGAACTCAACAATCACAGAGAAGGAAGATGAGGAGTTGAAGCGGTGGCTGCGTTCGATCTACGCTGCGGCCATGTGGACATCACATGTTGTCTTTCCACCGAATAGGGTGCGCACCAGCTTTACATCTACATGTTTCCCTTCGTAATGGGACACTTTTTTTTTTTTTTTCGGATAGGGAGGGGAAGACTGTGTGACCAGCCATCTGGTAGATTGCTGCGCTGCCGCTTTCTCTCCACAGCACAACACTTTTAGATTTTACCCCCTCGATTGTCTTAAACGTTTTGTACACTTCACATTGTTGACGCTTTTTGTTCTCGCATTTTCCACGCCTGTGTGTACGTCGCTGTTTGGGTGGCGTCTTTCACATACGTCTCTGACTCCACCTTTTCATAAGGCGGCCCAGAATTTAACTGTTTGTTGTTCGTGTTCTTAGAAGATGCGTGTGTGTGTCCTGAGTGACACGTTGCGTCCGTTTGTGTGTTTGTTTGTGTGCGTGTTTATGTGTCTTTATGTCTGCTGCTCCGCGCAGTCTCATGTCCTTCTCGCCCCCTGAAGGATGCCGTTGTTTTTGTGACGGTTGTTTCCTGCAGGGTGGAGAGGGTTTTGTCGTGCCTTCACCGCATCTATTCACGCACTGTGCCTTCCCCTCCTTCTTTTTCCGTCCTATTTTTTCTTGTAAACGCGTGCCTGACGCCGCCAAGGAAACCACTGCGGAGAAAGCAAAGAAGAAGTTACAAGTTCATTGAAGTCGCTAAAGTACCGAGGGACCGTGGCGCAACTAGTTCTAACAAAAAGAGACGGAAACCACAGCAACACCGTAAGTGGGAGCAGAAGCAGCGGAACCCACCAATAGGGAAAACAACAACTACTAAAAGAAGGAATAAACAATCGTACCCACCCAATAGGAAGCAAAGCAGAAAAGAAACGGTACAACAATCGCACGGGGAAAGGAACGTCAAGGCAACTACATCAAAGACGCGAAATATCAGAGTCCATTGTTTGACATGCGGTTGAGTATAAAACTTTTTGCTGCTCTTGGAGGGTTTCTCTTTGGTTATGACACAAGTGTCATTAACGGAGCCCTCTTTCAGATTAAGGATTGGTTTGAATTTTCAGGACACTCCTGGAAAGCAGGTCTTATTGTGAGCATTGCCGTCGCGGGGGCCTTTGTGGGCGCATTTATTCCTGGGCTTTTGGCCACACGCTGCGGCCGCCGTGCCTGCATTGCCATTGCCGATGTTTTCTTCATCGCTGGATCAATTATCATGGCCGTGGCAATGAATGTGGAGATGTTGTTAGTTGGGCGTGCCGTTGTAGGACTTGGGATTGGCATGTCTTCTGTTACAGTCCCTGTGTATCTGTCAGAAATCACTTCGGCCAGAGAGCGTGGAGCCACCGTGGTGTTCAATGGTGTTTCCCTCACTGGGGCGCAATGTGTCGCCTCCGCGGTAACTGCACTTCTTGTACAGTTTACCTCCACTAACGTTGGGTGGCGTGTGGCTCTCGGTCTAGGTGCATTGCCGGCAATAATTCAACTGGTTGGGCTCTTCATCTTCCTCCCGGAAAGCCCACGTTGGCTTCTTGTGAAGGGGGATCGCGAACGAGCGTTGAAGTTGGCAGAGGAGTTTGAGGTGGACATTTGTGAGGTCACTGACAATGACAACTCTGAGGCCTTTGCACCCAATTACCGCGGCATTTTTGAGAAGGGGATGCGACGTCGTCTGCTTATTGGGTGCATGCTGCACGTCCTACAGCAGATTTCAGGCATCAACACCATCATGTATTACAGCTCCGTTATTTTGTACGATGCCGGATTTAGGGATCCCAAGACTCCAGTTATCTTCTCTATCCCACTTGCTGGCATAAACGCCATCTCCACCATGTGCTGCCTTTTTACTGTGGATCGGTGGGGACGGCGGCGTCTGTTGCAAGTAAGTGCGTACGCCTGCCTTGCTATCACAATTTCAATGACAGCTGTCGGTTTTTGTCTTGGCACTCAAGTAACGTACTCGATCGGGGGATGGGTATTCCTTGCGCTACTGGGCGTGTACCTTGTCTTCTTCGCCCCAGGTCTTGGGGCAATGCCGTGGGTCGTTATGGGGGAAATCTTTCCAAACCGCTTGCGCATCACGGCGGCATCCGTGGCAACGATGTGCAACTGGGGCTCGAACGCCCTTGTGTCGCAGTTATTCCCTATCATGATGGGCTCTATTGGGGTGGGAGGCACGTTCAGCGTTATTTGCGGATGCATCGCCTTCGCCGCCGTCTTTATCCAGTTTTTTGTGGTGGAGACAAAGGGCCTCACGCTGGAGGAAATTGAGGACTTTTTTGACGGGAAGCGTGCGCAGGAGTCTACAGGTGAAACGGACGCAACGAGTGAATTTTGCAATCTTACGGGGAACCGTATGGTGGGGGAAAAAGTTTCTGATGCGAGGGAAAGGAACGCCAGTCCATTTCATAATACCGTTGAGTGACGTATGCAGGCATAACCGTATCTCTCAATATTTACGCATACGTGTGGGTGTATGTGTCGCTACGAAATGGTCACGTTTCTAGGCTCGTTTGTGCCCCCCTCCCTTTTTTTTTGTTTTCTCTCCGCTTTTGTTATATAAATTTGAACTCTGTTGAGTTCTTTATTGGTTTTTGCTGTTTTTTTCTTTGTTTTACGCTTCCCAGCTCTTTGGCGGCTTATATCTCGCGTAGTGCGCCTTTCGGCGTGTATGCCGCTTTATTTTGTTTGTTTCTTTGTTTTTGTTTGTCTTCTTCGCCGCCGGTGGATCGGTGCCTCGCCTTTGAAGAGGGAGCTGATTGTGCAACTCCGCTCTCTCCTCTCCTTTTTTCTTTTTGGCTTGAGGCCCACACCCGTGTTGCCGAGAAGACATAGACATACTTTGATTCCTGAATGACATCTTGGAAATGCTATGAATGTTTTTTTATATATATATTATTTAATTCGGCGACTTTTTGTCCTGGTCACACGTAAATCTTTTTGCTACAGTTGTTTTTGTTGCACTTGTGTTGCAGGTGCAGTCCCGTGCAGCGTGTCTTGCAGTGGTTGCTGCGTGTGTGTATGTATATGTGTGGCGGGTTTCTATTTTCTGTTGCTTTTCTCTTCATCTCTTTTACAGGTGAAGTTCTCAGGGGAGGTGCACACAGGCAGGACAGTGAAACCTTGGGATGGGAGGATATACGTACACACACATACGCAAGCTGCAAAGAGAATAATTGTGTGCAGTAGAAGAGCATATTCAGCGTAGGCATCTTTTTTTTTTTTTGGTAGCGTTTGAGTCTCAGAGGAGCACGCAGAGCCGTGAGAAGGGGCATGGCCACCGCGAGGGGGCAGATGGTGTCGGATCTTGTAGAACACTCCACAGAGGTGCATATGAGCCTATCCTCCCTGGGTGGCAGACGCGACATACTCACACCAGCATACCGGCTGCACTGTGCGCTGAACAGTGACTACGCCATTATTTTTGGTGTTGCAAATTGTGCGGAATCGTTTAGTGACCTGTACGCCCTCCCAGTGACTGAGTTGATAAGGTCATTTCGGGTGGTGTTGCAACGCGTAGAGGTGCATCCGCCGCCTTTGCTGGTGTTACGGAGTTTCCCCACTTCTCTGGTGGCACCAGAACCAGCATCGTTATCGCCATCGTCACCCATCGCTTGCGAATCTGCTTCTCTCCAGTGACCGAGTGCACGTCGCTCACACACATAGGCGCCCATAGTGGAGGGAAAGGCTATTCTTTCTGGCGGGCATGGTGTTGCTTCCGTCAATAATGTCTGGGTACCACATGAAAAGTCATTTTGATGGACGCGTGTGAAGACCCGGGGGCTAGACCCGCACTCTTCTCTGATGGAGACCTCAGCATCACGTTACTGCCACTCGGCTGTGGTGTACCCCCCAACACAACGTCATCAGTGCATACGAAGAGTGATGTCGTTGGGTTGCTCGATGCCGCGGCATCCACCACTCATGCATAAATTGGAAAAAGTCTATGCATCTTTGGTGGGGTCCTTTTCCCCCTTGGTGACAACGCTCTCTGGGAGTTGAAGCTTTCCACATTCATCTGGCGTCGAGTAAAAGTAGAGGGTGGAGTTCTTCCGTCGCCACGCTTTGGGCATATTGCATGTGTCTTGCCCCACTGTATGATTGTGTTTGGTGGGGCGTACAAGTTCCCGTCCGGGCGCTTCCTTGATGACTGCTTTATTTACAACTTTTTCTCAAGCGAATGGAGTTCTTCAAAATAGAGTCGATTCTCACAGTCTGATTTCGGGTCTCGCGTTCCTCACGCACGACTCCGCAGATGCGGTCTTGGAATCGGAAAGCATATTAGATATGCAACCCACCATATTTAGTTATTTGCCTGCCACTCTTTCGAGGGGTCATCCGATGCTGGAGGGGAGGGGGATGCGTCAAGTTTTATGCCACCGGGCCGCCGATCGCATGCTGTTGTTTGCTCCGTTCAAGGCAAAATTATTATGTTTGGTGGATGTGACGGCAGCCGCGTCCACTGTGATTGTTTTCAGCCGAGACTGGCTCCCTCCACACTGCAAGACTGTTACAATGGCTTTCTTGTGGCCGCACGTCGACTCCGCGGCCAAAGTTGCAGTGTGATCAAACAAACTTTGCGAAAGTGGGACAAGGGTTGGCTTGGCTCGTGCAGTGAATTTTGTGCTGCTACGCACAAGTGCAGTGGAGTTTTAGGCGGGCAACATACTCGTTTTACAGTGGCACTCCGCTTACATTCATTCTAATTATGCCACAGCTATTATTGTTTCATGTACTTTTCTGTTTGCATGTCTTCAACACCTGCTTTCAGCGTTATTTATTTTTATGTGGCTGATGTTTTATTTTTTGTTTGTTTATGTGCGTGAGTGTTTGTTTGTTTTATTCGTTTTCTTATTTATTTATTTATTTTTCCATTGTGGGTGTGTTTAAACGAGGCGGTCCGGCTGCGAAGGGAGGACTCGTACTTTTTTTTTTTGTTGCTTTTTTGTTTCTCGTTGAGAGGGGAGGGGGGTTCATGGGATGCCAGATGCATGCACCACACGTCTTTGCTTCCTTTTGTTTCCTTCTTTGCAGTGCGTGGAGCAGGGGGTTGAAGGGTGCGGTGGTAGCCAACGAAAAAGGCTTCGGCGAGGAGGCGAAAGATGGTGCAGATCAGTAGGGGCGAGACGAAACAAGGTGGAGCAGAAGCGGGTGCGCTGCCGTGCCTTGAGTCGAGTGGCGGCGTACGGGTTCCTCACATGGGGGTAGGCACGTATGAGCTTCGCGGTGAGGAATGTCGCCGTGCTGTACTGGCGGCACTGCGGTTAGGGTTTCGGCTTATTGACACCGCAGCGGGATACCACAATGAGGAGCCTGTTGGGGCTGCCATTGCAGAGAGCGGAGTGGCGCGGGAGGAGTTGTTTGTCGTAGTGAAGATTGCACCGAAGGCGATGCTGACGGAGGTGCTGGTCGAAACCGGCATTCGTGAAAGTATACGGAAGCTGCGGATTGTGTACGCGGACTGTGTCTTGATTCACTGGCCAGGCTGCGGTGGATTCAAGCCGCACGAGGCGGAAGAGCACAAAGCGGCACGGCGTCGCTGCTGGAAGGTGATGCGGGCCCTGCAGAAGGAAGGCGTCATTCGACATTTGGGGGTTTCTAATTTTGCCCCGCGGCACTTTCCCGATTTGGCCGATAACGCTGAGGACGTGGCGCATTTGTTTGACGCTAGCAATCCAAGCAGACCTGTGATAAATCAGATTGAGTTGCACCCGCTCTGCTTGCAGGAAGATGTTTGCGACTTCTGTTGCAAGCGCGACATCGTGCTTCAGCAGTACTCCCCACTAGCACAGTGTCATGCGGAGCTGGTTGAGCACCCTGGGCTGTGTGCCATTGTACGGGAGCGCTTCCCAGGGTATACCGTGCACGATGTGTTACTCATGTGGGGCCTGAGTCAAGGTCTTTGCGTTCTGGTGCGCAGTCGGTCAGAGGAACATTTAAGGCAAAATTGGGCAGCCGCAAGAGCCTTTTTCGCGGAGGGGGCACTCAGTGACTCTCAGAAGGAGCAGTTGAAAAACCTGCGAGCCTCCATGCAAGTGGTGGAGGATCACCATTTTTGTTGGCATAGCGAGCATATTGACTAAAGAGAGAGGGGGCTTGAAAGAGGAAGGGGAGCTAACGCGAAGCGGGTGGATGGCACAGTGACTGACCCACAACTATGGTGGTGCGCGAATGAACACCCGATCATTGTGTCTTGTATCTGTTTTTTTTTTTTTCTTTTGGTGCCTGGTGATGCCCAGCGGGGGGAGGGGTAGCAAGCAGCTAGTGTCCCACACAGCACAGAGAGAATGCGGATGTGTCATCGCCTCCTTCGGTGTGGTGTTGCCGGACCCTTTTCGGTGTCCCGTATCACTCAGCGGCGTCTGCTCCACGCAGAGCCAGGGAGGAAGAGCATGCAGGATCATCTTGCAGCCATTGTGCTTGAGTGCGATCGCGATGCCGCACGCCCCTTCAACGGCTCTATCTGCGCCGCAGCCCTTACCGCGGTTGGGGTGGGTTTGGGGGCCTTCACGTTTGTCTGGAACGTCGGCAAGCCCGTAGTGGATGCTTACGCGAAGACGCAGGTAACTGATTCCTGGGATCAGGAGCATGAAGAAGAATGAAATAAAGGGGAAGAGACAGGAGGGGGGAAAAAAAAGCACAAGAGGTGGATGTAAGAAAGCCGGTCTGCACACAAATGAAGGACGTACTCAACGAAGGGGCGTCACATGCTTTGAGTGAAAAGCGACACGGAAAGGAGGAGAAGTGTTCGTTCTTCCATTTCTCACGCGTATACACAATATACTCTGTCATTATACCTATTCCCCCTCTGTATATGCGTGCGTGTCTGTGTGCCGTTCTTGTTCTGTTTTGAATGCGGGGCTAGCGAGCTTTATTAGCATCGTTTCTGTAGTAGAAGACGGAGACCTTGTTATGCGTCATGAAACGTAAAACGCATGTGTCTCCACCATCACGTGCTCCGGTGGTCCACAGGAAATCAAAATGTGTTTCTTGTGATTCTTCACCTTATCCTTCAGGCAGGCGGATACGTCTCACGTCAGCAGAAATGCGTACGTCTCACGTCATCACCAACCTGGGTTCCAATGTGATGCTCAATATGGACAGCTTTGCAGTGGGTCATGTATATAAACGAATCTGGTCTCAGGTAGTTCTTGGTTCCACAAGTGGTCTAATGATTATTATGGTCCTTGCTGTGCTGTACTCCGTGTATGCTTTGTGCCTTCCATATGGAGACAGCATCAGCCTTGGCATTTTGCTCTCTGTCATGCTACATTCGAAAAGTACAGAGGAATACTCGGCTTCCCGATCCGCAAGGCGAAGGTGCGTGGAGAGGATGCAGCAGCTGCGCCAGAAATGGGTGTCTCGTTCCACGCTCTTTGGTGTGGTTGGTTCTCTGCTATCTTTAGGCCACTTTTTCATGTATGCATCCATGCAGGGTGTGATGTTATTGGGTCTCAACAAACTCTTCCTGGGGGTCCGCAGGAGACGGAACGGTGCCAACCGTGTCGGGAAGGCCATGTATGGGGTGGGTGAGAAGGGGGTATTTCTCACGTCCACGTCCATGGAGCAGGCCATTATGCGTTTGCTGACGGTGAGCATCCTCGTCACCATTGCCCATTTCATGATTGGGTTTTTCTTCTTTTTTCAGCTGCACGCCGTGCTACTGGTTGTGTTCGCCATCACCGTTATGGTCATGTCGGAGGAACGTTTCACTGCTGTGATGTGGTGCCTCTGGCGAACCGCACTCATACTTTTCTTTACGGTGGCACTCTCGTACAACATGGCGGCGGATGTCCTCTCTGTCAGCGACGCGGTAAAGCGAGCGACCTCGGCCGTCGTGCATGCCAGAGACCAGTGGTCCAACGGCAGTACGTCCGCTTTGGCTGCAGGTAGCACGTTATTTCCTGACACTGCGAGGTACACGGCGGCGGCGACGACCTCGGTTTTCTCGTCGTCTACATCCATCGCGAGCATTGAGGAGATGATTATGGCGAAGCTCCAGCAGACGGTGTTAAAGGAGCTTGCCGACACACTCAAACAGTCAAACGTCACGGAACTTGCTGTCGCCGTGCGTCGGGTTGTTTCCCCTCTGCTAACGAGATCTCCATCCGAGATGAGTATTGGTTCATTGCGGAACATAAGCAGTGAGGTGTATACCTCCCTCTTTCGGTCTGGTGGTCCTCTACGCAAGGTGGATTGGGTCAGTGTGTTGCAGAATTCACTGCAGCGTTGGCGGCCCGTGCTTGTTTCTTTAACTCAACTTTTGTTTGAGTTGGGATCGAACGTGATGGGGTTCTTTGACTCCGTGTATGCGAGTATCCTGTTTGTCTGTGTCCTTCGCTACTTTCTGCAGCTGGAACACACGATTCTATACTACGTGGTTGCCAAGATGCTCCGCGTCATTCACTCACGCGACGGGGAGCGACATGCGCGAATTATAGAGCGCGAAATCACTGTGTCGTTTCGGACCCTCCTACAGTCCTTTTGGCATCTCTCCTGGTTTCACTTCTGTATTACATTCTGTCTTTTCAGTGCGTGGTCCTTCCCCACCCCTTTCTTCTGTGGGGTGATTTCCACACTCACCGCCGTGTTCCCACTCACACCAAAGTGGGTCTCGCCCGTCGCACTTGCGTTGGGGTGTGTTCTCTTTAGTGCCGTAAGTACCCATGGGTTTCCCGGCGCTGTCGTTGATCAGCGTGTGTGGAGTTGCCTCCTCGCGTTTTTGGCGTCGTACTTGGATGAGTGGTTGCTTTGCGTTTCGCGTGGGTTGCGCGGAGATTCGTTAAAGGACGCCGCAGGGGTGGAGCGGGAGCAGATGCCAACGTTTGTTATTGGCACTGCCGTTGTGCTTGGCTATGTGCGGTACGGAGTGCGTGGGATTCTGTTTGGGCCCATGACTGTCATTCTGGCGAAGGTGTTGTTTGACAACTGGGACATGGTCACAGAGTGCGAGGCGCCGCCCCCTGACGCACGTTGCTCTGCGGAAAAAAATCCATCAGTTTTGCATGAGTGGCGTGATGTACGTGTTTCATGCAGCCAACAGGAACATGGTCGTGGTCGTGGTGGTGTATGAGGAGACTACGGCGGCTAAGCAGGGAAATATATTCGAGTTTGCGTCCCTGCCCCGCTTTTGATGATGTATTTTTTCTATACGTGTTTTATCCCTTCCCGTGTGGGGTTGCTTCGGTCGGCTGTACATGCTGGCCCGTGGCAACGAGAGCCACGATGGGGCGGGGAGAAAAGAAATGAAAAAAAAAACACCAACTGGGTGCTAGGAAGGTGTCACAGGTGTCGGCGTGGCGTATACCGAAGTATACCTACAGTGAGTCCACCCACGGGAGGGACGTTGCGTCCCGCGTGTAACTAACCGTAGCACAGTTTTCATGCCTGTATCTACAAGCGGTGTGGTGCATGTATAAAAGAGAGGTCGGTGGAGAGCCGTCTGTGCACCTCGTACCCCGCGTATGCGCGCAGCATTTTTATTTATTTTTTTTTGTGCGTTTTTTTTTTCTTTTCATTTGTGTGTGTGCGCATGTGTGTGTTTATGTCTTTACTCGTTTTGGGAGCGCATTTGGAAGACAGAGCGGCGCAGAAACGAGAAAAAAATGCCGAGTGGACGCCTCGTGCTTGGTGGTGTTGACGTGATGCGGCTGCTAGATGCCTACCGCCGTGGCCACACCTCCGGCGACGCACCCCGTGCCGTAGGAAGTATGAGGCATGCCAGGCCAACTCTGCTTGTCAGCGCATGTCTACTCGGGCAGCGCGTGACGTATCGTGGAGGGAGTTGCTCCCAGCCAGGGCATCGATGTACACCTGTCGGTTTTATTGTGAACTGTCTGTGGCGTGAGCACCGTCTTGTGGAGTGCGTTCCCATCTGCCCAGAGATGGACCTGCTCGCAATGCCGGCGCCGCGGCCGCCACTACGATTGGTGAAGGAATCGCGTGACGAGCCTCGTCGCCTTGTGACAGCGCCGCCAAAGGTGTCAAAACGTCTGTTACCTGCGCCTGGCATGTGGAGTGACGAGGGATGTGAAGTAAGGAAGCGTCTGATGCAAAGGCATCCACGTCTGGCGGAGGAGTTGCTGGTGCATCGTCTGGCGGGAATAGATGGGTGTATCTTCAAGTCGAGGTCACCCAGCTGCGGCGTGCGGGACGCGCGCCTTTACGCTGCGGAGAGCGGCGGAGACTACGAGGAGGTGGATGGTTTTTTCGTTGACGGGTGGGTGCGCCCCGCTGCGGCGGCCCCAGTGCAAGGGACACCATCCACCACCGCGTTGCCGCTGCCGCTAACGACAGAGCGTCGATTGTGTTTTGGTGGGGGCGCTTTCACGCCTATTGGGGCACAGTTGGACCACAAGGACGCAGTGCTGTCCTTCGTTGCGGATGTTTTGGCTCGCTGTGAGGCCCGGCATCGTGTGGCGGCTTCTTCCTCTTCTCTTTGAATGAAGATTGCCGTGTCTTTTTCTCTTGTTCTTCTTCTTTGTCTGCTTTCCGTGACGTACGTATGTGATGATGCAGAGGAGTGATGGGTGGAGGGTGGAGTCCGTGGGACGATGGGTGGGTGGGTGTGTGCCACGCCTCCCTGCCGGCATTGTTGCTAACGGTGCACACCCACACACGGGTATCTACCCTTCTTGCACTCATGGGTCTTTGTTTGTGTTTTTTTTTTGTCTCTCTCCCCCTCCATGCGTCTGTGTGTGTGTCACAACAACAACTATGCCAGAGGTGCAACAAGAAAGTAAGGCTAAGGACTTTTGCTCGTAGCTCCTGTAGGCCCGTAGGGGAATGGCGTACAACACCCCCGCATGGAATGAGGAGTTTGGGGTGTTAAAACAAATGCAGGAGGATCGTATGAACTTCTTTAAGAGCATGACCTGCCACGAGCGCTGCGTCTCGCACTACTGGTTTAACGACTTCTACGGCGGAGAGCATAAGTGCATGCGCAACTGTCTGGAGAAGCTGAATCAGGTGAGCGTCATCACAAACATTAACTTCAACAAGTATGAACAGGAGAAGGCGGAGCGGAAGCGTAAGTAATGCATGGAGGCACATGTCACTTTGAAAAGGGTGCAGTGATGGGGCTCAACTCGCTGCAGTGTGTGCCGTGAGGTGGTGGTGGAAAAGATGAGTCTTTTTGTGCTTGTTTGTGCCGTGTGTGTGGGCATCCGCGCTTTCTGAAGTTGTGTGATGTACTGCGAGTCGCTCCGTGTGTTTGTTTGTAATTCTGAATGAGTGGGTGGGTGCTCGGTGCTTCTCCATGGTTTATTATTATTATTATTATTTTCCCCTCCACTCCGGACACACAAAGACGTCTCGTCTTCCGCCGTTGTTTTTTTTTTCTTTTTCTTTCTTTCTGTAACGCCTATTTTAATCCGAATTGGAGGGTGTTGGTGGAGCAGCGTGATTGTCACGGGACTGCGGTAGGGGGAGGGCGGTTACCACCTCCCCGTGCGTACCTTCATGCACGTTTCACGCACCCTCGTTCGCGTAATCCCCACCCCCTGCGTTTACTTCTTTACCCTGCCAGAGATGACAGCACAGTGATGGAAACGGTAACGCATCCTTGCAACGGATAACATGTGATGTGTCACATGTTTTATTATTTCTTCTCCTTCTTTTCATTGCTGCTTCTCCTCTTTTACACACACTTTTTCCCTCCCTTCTTTGACGTGTTGGCTCATCCGTGGTTTGGTGGGTGTCTTCTTGCTCTGGTTGTGTGTTTCTGTGCGTGTGTGCGTGGAAGTGCCCAGTAAAGAGAACGAGCGAGTGTGGGTAAGTTGAAGGATAGGCCGTTTCGGCGAACACATATTGTGCAAGGAGACAACACGTGAAGCGGAGTCCGGGTGGGAGAACAGCGAAGATGGTGCTGGCGGAACTCGGGCAGAGGATCGGGGCGGCGATCTCCAAGATGTCATCAAAACCGCTTTTGGGAGAAGACGACGTAAAGGAGCTCCTAAACGACGTGGCACGGGCGCTGCTTCAGGCTGACGTGCATGTGACGACAGTGAAGGAGCTGCAGCAGACGATACGTGCTGAGGTTGCAATTACGTCGGAGGCAGTTGGGCTTAACAAGCGAAAGATACTGCAAACCGCTGTGTTTAACGGTCTCAAAAAGATCCTCGACCCGGGCGTGAAACCCTTCATGCCGGTAAAGGGGAAAAAGAACGTTGTCATGTTTGTCGGTCTTCAGGGGTCTGGCAAAACGACGTCGTGCACAAAGTATGCGGCATACTTTCAGCGCAAGGGTCTCAAGACGGCTCTGGTGTGCGCAGACACGTTTCGTGCTGGGGCCTACGACCAGCTGCGTCAAAATGCCACCAAGGCGAAGATTCGCTTCTACGGCTCTCTAACTGAGGCCGATCCTGTCATCATCGCCAGGGAGGGTGTGACAGAGCTGGAGAAGGAAAAGTATGATCTTATTGTCATTGATACAAGCGGTCGCCACAAGCAGGAGTCTGCCCTATTTGAGGAGATGAAGCAAGTGCAGGATGCAGTGAAGCCAAACGATATTGTTTTTGTCATGAGTGCCACGGATGGCCAGGGGATTCGCGAACAGGCTCGACAGTTCAAGGAGAAGGTCCCTGTTGGATCTGTGATTGTCACAAAGCTTGACGGACATGCAAAGGGTGGTGGGGCACTGGCGGCTGTTGCCATGACTAAGAGTCCCGTTGTCTTTATTGGCACGGGAGAGCACTTTGACGACTTTGAACTGTTTCAACCAGGGAGCTTTGTGAGTCGCATGCTAGGAATGGGGGACATGCGGGCCTTGATGGATACGATGAAGGATGCCAACATCAACACCGATAGTGAGCTTTACAAACGGTTTCAGGATGGTCAGTTTACGATGCGGGACATGTATGAACATCTGCAGAATGTGCTAAAGATGGGGTCTATGAGCAAAATCATGAACATGATTCCTGGTATGTCGGCTCTTAGTGGGGCTGCGGGCGAGCTCGGGGATGTGACGCTAAAGGCCTTTATTCACATGATGGACAGCATGACAGCCGCGGAACTGGATGATGCACGTGTGAAGAAGACAATGACTCCCTCCCGTATTCTCCGTGTCGCCCGTGGCAGCGGACATACTCTTCATGAGGTGCAGAACCTCATTACTAGCTATGCGAAGTTTGAGGAGGTGGTGAAGAAGATGGGCAAAATGAACTTTAAGGCCATGACGCAAGATCCTGGTAGTATGCTCTCAGGGCGTATGGGGCAGCAGCAGATGAATCAGTTGGCGAAGGCGCTTAATCCGACGATGTTGCGGCAGATGGGTGGACTTTCTGGGCTGCAAGGCATGATGAAGCAGCTGCAAAACATGAAGTAAACCACAGTTCTACCGTGTGAGGGTAGCAGGAAAGATGCAAGCACAATCCACAAGAAAAAAAAAACAACGTGAAGAAGAACAAAAGTAAACTCTGATGCCCCACAAAAAGGGGGTGATGGAGAAGTTGCGGAGGTTCAGTTCGTGGTGGACCAAAAAGCTTGTCAAGGAACGTGGACGATTGTGCGGTACTTACGTACATGCTTGCATATTTGCGCTCTGAAAACTTACGTACATGCTTGCATATTTGCGCTCTGAAAGCCTCGTTTAAGCCGAAACAGCTTGCTTTTCCATGCACACATATACACGCTTTATCCTGTATGTCTGCGTGTATGACTGTGGTTGTGACTATTGGCTTGTTTTATCGGCTCTCTTTTTCATTTTCTAAAATGCTTTGCGCGGGGAGAGGCCCGCAATGCCAAACTGACGGTAAGAAAGAGAAAAAAAAAAGAGGCACCACTGAGCAAACATAAAACAAGGAGGAAAAACCATCGGTGCCTCCATTTACACGCGCTGCAACACATAAGCGTTTTGTTTGGGTGGGTTGTAATGACGGCGGTGAACGATGTTTTTGCAGCTGTTTGTCCTGGTGGTTCTTCATTCATACTTTTTCTCTCCGTGGTTGTTGTTGCTACTGTTTTTTCCCCTCACAGGCCCACAGACACGACGGCAGGATTGCTTAGATCGATAGAAATTAAAGTTTTGATTCCCAG